GAAGTCCTTATAGACCAGAGCATACTGGCGCATTCGTTTGCAAAATTGTTTTAATTCGTAATTTTTTTTTTTAATGTCCGGCAGGCTTTCCTGATTATAAAAGTGTAAGATGACACTCGTTATCTGTTGATGTTATTGTTTAAACAACGAAAAATTAATTAAGCCAGAAAAAATGCATTTTTTGCAATAAATTAATTATTTTTTATATTCTTTAGGATATTTCGAATAAAAAAAGTCCTTACGCCCATCATCGTATCTTCAACCCTTTAATTCTTATGAATTTTTTAAAATACAAAATTGACGAAAATTCCAATTTTCTTGAATTAAATAATATACCTTAAAATTTAAAATGCTATAATTTTAAATTTTTTACCGCATATTCAAACAATAATAAACAAAATTACCTAAATAAATTTTCAAAATTTTGTTTGTTATTGTTTTTTTTACGTTATAACAATATGCTTCCTACGCGCGTGTACTTTTAGAGAGAAGTACTTCTATCTCACTTCCAACTCAATGTATAAAATGGGTAAGAGAAAACCCGATGACGCACTAAATCAATTTAGCGGTAATAAGTTTAAAAAAATTATTATTTACATTTTTCATAACACTTTGTTATATTTGCCGATTAATAGTTTTGTATCATGTGATTTTTTTTTTACTTTTTTAAATACTTTCGATAACTTTTTTATTCATTGAAGTTAATAGAAATGTTCCATCCACAAAAAAAAATCATTGCCAAGAGCTGTCTAAAAAATAAATTTTTCTCACTTTTTTTCCAATAAGATAAAAGAAGACAAACATACCTGCCGTAATTCAAGGGAAATTTCTACCTGTTACGATGAGCATAGTTGACTCACCTGGTTTTTATTTTAAAACAGATTACGCAATATATATATATATATATATATATATATATATATATATATATATATATATATATATATATATATATATATATATATGTATTCAATTTTTTCTATGGTTGTTAATTCTTTTCCACTATGTATATTTAATAGTAATATTCATTTATTAAGAAAAATTTTACATAAAATTATAGTTTGTACATCTAACTAGTTTTTACATGAAATTGATTTTGGCAACATTCAATTAAACATCCACAGAAAACATAACCAAAACCAGAGAAATCTAAAGGTTCATATTGAAATTGATTTGAATTCCTCCAAAAATAAGTCTGAAACGAAGCTCGTAAAGTATGCAAATTCAAAGCATCCGACGTGCATGGAAAATTTTTTTTTCCTTATTTTTGTTAAATGGAGAAAGGCTTGGATATTTTTGAAATCATAAAATGTTATAACCCCAGTAAGCCTACTATGTTCATTGTAACAGGTAGAAATTTTTCACGGATCACGACAAGTGCATTTGGCCTTTTTATCGTATTAAAAAAAAAGGTTGAAGAAGATTTTACTTCTCAGGCAGTATCTGACAATCATTTTTTCATGAATAAAAATAAATGTTAAAAATAAATGTTTCTGTTAACTTTAATAAATAAAAAAGTTATCAAAAGTATCTAAAAAAGTAAAAAAAAGTCACATGATACAAAACTATTAATCGGCAAATATAACAAAGTGTTATGAAAAATTGTATTTAACAAAACCGCCATTACCTGAAGACTTAGCAAAACCGTGCAACTGTAAAAAAAATTGTGCAACGAAAGCTTGTTCGTGTCAAAAACTAAACATGACGTGTGTGGCATTATGCGGATGTTTAATTGAATGTTGCCAAAATCAATTTCATGTAAAAACTAGTTAGATATACAAACTATAATTTTATGTAAAAATTTTCTTAATAAATGAATATTACTATTAAATAATCATAGTGGAAAAGAATTAACAACCATAGAAAAAATTGAATACATATATATTGCGTACTCTGTTTTAAAATAAAAACCAGGTGAGTCAACTATGCTCATCGTGACAGGTACAAATTTCCCTTGAATTACGGCAGGTATGTTTGTCTTCTTTTATCTTATTGGAAAAAAATTGAGAAAAATTTATTTTTTAGACAGCTCTTGGCAATGATTTTTTTTGTGGATGGAACATTTCTATTAACTTCAATGAATAAAAAAGTCATCGAAAGTATCTAAAAAAGTAAAAAAAATCACATGATACAAAACTATTAATCGGCAAATATAACAAAGTGTTATGAAAAATGTTAATAATAATTTTTTTAAACTTATTACCTCTGAAAAACAGCAAAAAATTGATTCAGCGCGTCATTGGGCTTTCTCTTACCCATCCTATACATTGAGTTGGAAGTGAGATAGAAGTACTTCTCTCTCTAAAAGTACACGCGCGTAGGAAGCATATTGTTATAACGTAAAAAAAACATAACAACTAACAAAATTTTGAAAATTTATTTAGGTTATTTTGTTTATTATAGTTTGAATATTCGGTAAAAAATTTAAAATTATAGCATTTTAAATTTTAAGGTATGTTATTTAATTCAAGAAAATTAGAATTTTCGTCAATTTCGGATTTTAAAACATTCATAACAATTAAAGGGTTAAAGATACGATGATGGGCGTAATAACCTAAAGAATATAAAAAAAATTAATTAATTGCAAAAAATGCATTTTTTCTGGCTTAATTAATTTTTCGTTGTTTAAACAATAACATCAACAGATATCGGGAAAGCCTTCCGGACATTTAAAAAAGAAAATTACGAATTAAAACAATTTTGCAAAAGAATGCGCCACTATGCCCTGCACTATTAGTATTGCCAATGAAGTTCCTTTACGAAATAAACTTTGGAAAAAAAATAGACGATGCGGCAAATATTTATTTTAATGTCAGAAAGTCTTTCATCAAATAAATTGGAAATGGCGTAAAATTATAGGAGGATGTCTCGTAGAACAATTACTCTGAGTTTGTTATTTTGCTTATAATTCAGAGTTACAATTTTGTCTACTGTTTCTCACTTGAAAGCACTTTCAGAAACATATGAAGTGTTCAATAGTGTTTTTTCTATAAACCGGCTGAAATTATTACGTTTAAACAAGTGTTTATATCATATTTTCTAATCAAAGTTTTGTCAAAAAAAAATATATGAGCTAATTTTAACATCAGAAATCGCTCGTAAAATAAATTGTAATCAATTAATATTTTTTTTATACTCCCGACCGTCCCTATGCAAAAATACATATGCATTTGCATATTGAATACATTTTTTTTGGATTTTGCATTTTCAAAAAAAATACATATAATGATTTTTTTAAACCGAATTTATTCCTTATTTAAATCGTTTATACCAAGTTCATTCCTAATATTTACAAAATAATTTTATTCTTATCTTAATCCGTTAAAAATTGATTGGTACCTGAAAGTAGGAATTAGGAAATTCCAAGACCTATTCCTATTAGATTACCTCTTAATTGGTTTGGATTGGATTAAATGACTGATTTTACTGATTGCATCTACTTAGATATTGTAAATTTCAATGTTAGTAGTTTAGTTTATATTTTAAACTTGAACAGATAGTTTTGGAAAAAGTATTTTGCTCAGTGTGCAGTAAAATTGTAAGTACAAATATTTTAATTACATAAAAATAATCAAAAAACTTATAAATATGCTATTAATTAATGGAAATTCATTTAAACAAATAAAACACTTTAATATTTGAAAAATTGCTTTTAAAATAATTTTGACCCATTTCTTTTTGTTGTATTGAAATAAAAATATAGTAGAAATATTAGGTTATTTTGAAAATAAATTTAATTCTTATCTTAAATAATATAAATTTTCTGCCATTTTTCATTCAATTCATACATTATGTTAGATCCCTAGACATTATTTTAGATTAACTTAAATTTTTTAAAGTTTTTTTTTTTAATTTTTTAGTCGATGAATCTTTTGAAGTAGTTTGAGATTTTTTGTAAGGTTTTTTGTTAAATTTTAAACTTTTTCGACGTTATTCTAAATTATTTTCCACTGTTAAGTAATTTTGTGACACATGCCGATGCGTTAAATATCCCTAAATCCAAAAATAAGTTAGATACTGAACGGGAATTTTTATGCAGATACCATATGTGGCAAGAGAATTGTTTGAAAATCATCTATTACAACATACATAAAATCAAATATAATTTTGTGCCAAGTTGTATCTTTCAGCTACAGGATACAAATTTATCTTTAATTAAATGGATTAAATTAATAAAAAAAATTGAATTATCTTACAAAAATGTTGAGGATCAAATAGACCAAGATATTTTTAAGAAACTTAAATCAGTCATTGATAAAAATATTGGTTTCGTATTTCTATCAAAGGTTGCAAATGTTTTAACTGGGGTGTTTGATGAAACAATAAATATAGAGGCATAAGTTCTAACTCATTTTAAATATGCTCCGATAACTTCGGTGGATGTAGAACGGAGCTTTTCTATTTACAAACATATGTATTCAGATAGACGTAATTTTTTGTTAGAAAATTTTGAAAAACATTATCACATATTGTTTCTATAAATAAATAAACATCTATAGATAATTTAATAATGTAATTGTTTAGAAGTTTTATTTTATCAAATTAATATATTTGAACAGTTTATGAAGTGCATATTTTGTTCTAATAAATGCATATTTGACACACATAATATGCGCATATATCTTACTTTTTGGTCTGCTTATTTACCTGACTCTGGTAATAATATATGAAGCGCGAGATTCGTACGCTTTATGGCACGAATCTTTTTTGTTTGTATAGAATCCGATTACAATAAGAAGAGCACCTCTACGTCATAACTATTATTTCGATTTTCCAATATATATCTATAACTATTCATAAATAAAAAATATGTGTTATTTGGTTTAAAAATATTAGTTCTATATTTTTATAATATTAACACGCCACTAAACGGCCTAGTAGGCGGTGAGAGCCAACAAATTACTTCGTCAATTGATGACCTAGCTGTGTTCATCTTATTGTAATCGGACTCTATCTACAAGTAACTTTTCTTAATTCAATTTTTTTAACCTTTGTTAAAGGCGACTAAGTCATGTCTGCAGAAACAGAGCTGACGATGCAAACGGGACTGTCTCCAGTCTTACTACCAGATATGACTACCTTGAGTCTAATTAGTCACAGAACCCAAACGACACATCTTGCAGCGCATCCACCACCAGCACCACATCCGAATATGCAGACCAATCCCAACAGTAAGTATTCCTTTTTTGCTTCAAGTTGAAGTCTTGTTTCCACCTTTGGTAAGTAAATTTTAGGCTGGCTGTTGGTGTGTTGATATGTGGAGCTTATAAAGGCTATGAGTAAAATACACATTAATAACAAATTTACGCTGTTAAAAAATATAAAATTACTTATTTTAATACCAATAGAGATTAATATAGGGGCTTTAGAATTGGTTTAAATTTGTTTCACTTAGCTGGCCATTTCAGTTGCCGGATATTGATAGTAAGATTCCTAATATAAAGTCATTAAATATTTTTTGTTTATTCTATTTCTTCCACATCACACAAGGTGAGGGTAAATATTGTATAGGTAAAAAATATTTTTTTTTGCCTGAAAATGTCAAACTAACTCTAAAATGACCAAAAATAAGTTTTGACAAAAACATTTTGTTTCTGTGTCCACCATAACTACCGAACGGTTTGAGGTATTGCTTTCAAATTTAATGGACATAATCAAAAAAGGTCTAAAATAGTTTCAAATATTTTTAGCGATATAAAGTATTTTATACGATAAAACTTTTTTTTTATCTCTGTTTAAGAGAAGAGTCATTTAAACACAATATGCCTTGCCATTGTAGATATTTCATGAAACCACAATATTTTAATTTAGGCAGGTTGTGTTACACATAATTTGCCGGAATGCTACTGGCTCTTCATGAAAAGCCTTGGCAGATTGTGCAGCTTCATGATTTTACACAATATGCCGACGCTTCATGAAATGGCTAGGATCTTCATGAAAAGCCGGATATCACTATGAGCCTACGACATATGTATATATGGCACTAATTTTAAATAGAATCATATTGAAGAGAACTTAAAACAAACTTATTATGGTTGAATACCTGCCAGAGGAGGTGTCACACGTCATATGTTTCCATTTAATTAGTTATCAAATGGAACTGTGACGTCATCTTTGATGGTTATATTATTATCATCAGTTATCAATAGAAAAGTTGTTTATATCAGTATATTTAATTAAAAAGTTCATTAATTTACGTGTAATTTTTCATAATATTTTATGTGAGGAAAGAACTTTAGACGTGTACCAAATAAATTAACATACATAGGTAAACACTACAGATTTATTTTATATATAACTCGAAATTTTACTAACTGGCCCTGAAAAACGCGTTACTAATTAAGTAATAATAGAATTACAATCATTATTTTTAATTTTTTTTATACCAACCGCAAAATTAACCGGACACGAACTTTTTCGGGAAAATGTTGTAAACTAAAATTTCAAATAATATTTAATGATAAACAATTTTTACAAAAAAAGTTAAAAAACAAAAAAGAAAATTGGCAGGACGAAAATCAAATGTCTGGTTAATTTTGCGGTTGATTATATTTAACAAATTGTTTAATATTTGCTCTTAAAAACAATCGTATATTGAAGTAACAAATATGTAAATTCATTTGTCTCCAGGTCTAGTACAACTTTAATTATTTTTTCTTGTATCCTTTTGAAGTAAAATTTATCGCCATCTATGGTGTGCTCATTTTGTTATTCGCTTGCCTCCCGTTCCGTTTCGAGCTGATTAAAATCGATCGGCGAAGCGCGGCGTACCCGAGAATCGAGACAGCGCATTTATTTTTCAGCTCAGGCGTCGTTGCCAAATGTAACTCGTTCTATACGACTTAAAAGAATATTTCAAACGTCAAACCGGTTTGAAAAACGTTGAAAATAAGGCCAGGAATACGCCATTTTAGTGATGATGTAATTATGGTTCCACTGACAATTAAAGTGATAGTAGATTTGTTCGTTTTGTTTACCTAAATTATATCGTTTTTTCATTTTTATAAATATATTCCTAAAGTAGATAACATGCATCAAATATACAATAGTTTAGTTACCAATTACATACCTTTAAATTATTTTTTTGATCTGCAAATATGTAAACAATAACTTAAAACAGTAAGAACGTATATGTCAGATTTATTGATGTTTTTGTTAAAAATTTGGTTAGAATTAAATGTCGGTGGAACCAAAATGACATCACACTAAACTGGCGTATTTATGAGTTAAAAACTAGTTTAACGTAACAGAAAACAATGCAATGTTCTCAAAATACCATAAATAGGAACAGTATTTGCAAATACACAAAAGTTGAAATAAACATACTAAGTAATTCAACAGAAACTCAACAGAGTTTATTATCAACATTATTTTTTAAGTTTTTGACGTTTTTTGTTTTTATGAATATGTTTTAAAAATAACTAGTTGCTCAACAAAAATGTCTATAAAGCTATTAGTACTAGCCACTAGGTACTCTTGAATTTTTAATTAAAATTCTATTACTTTTTTATAAAAGGCTTGATTTATATAATAAAGCAGTTATTAATTATTTATTATTAGACGACGGTATTAGACATTGCCAATAATTAGTAATTTTATATTTTGTTATTCCTTCTATTTTTAAATATAAATTGATTCTTTATTGATACATAAAACAAAATATTGATTAGAAGTAAAATTTTGTTAATTTTTAATATTTAAAAACTTCAAGTTTATTCAATATCAACTGCAAACGTCCCACTTTTCCCGACGCCGCTGTGCGACTTTTAAATTTAGTGACGTGAGAATCTGGGGATTTTATTGACTGCAATCCGGCAACGTTCCCATAACTACGGGTGACGTCAGGTTGCAAATGGCCGACGTCTTTTATAACTAGATAGACAATTTATTGAAATAAAAATAGTGGTGTGTATTGTGTGCTTGTGTGTTTAATTTATTTAAAATATACATATTAAAAAATGTATCCCGGATCTGGAGGCCGTAAGTAGAATTCAAAATTTTGCTGTGCAATGAGCTATTTAAAGCGTCACTGTTTTGTTGTCAAAAACGAGGTCTACTGGGATTAAATTTTCTTTGTTTGGGTGAATTTTCGTGTGTTTCCTGGCAATTTTCTCAACTTTTTTTCTTATGCATTTTATTGATTTAATTGGAAATGTAAATTTTCGCTTGAAATTCTCAGGAAATAGGCGGAAATACTACATTTAAAGGTACTTAACCTAGGAAGCCATCTCTTTAATACCTAATACTTTATGCTTAGAAATAAGGTCATTGAATTTTCCAATTTAATTAAATCTTTGGTAAGGATGTAAAAAATCCGTAGTAATTTCAGTTGAGTTTCTTCCAAATATCAGTAAGAAACCGGAAATAAGTCTGATAGTTTATTTTTGGAGATTTAAGAACAGTAAATGTCAACAATTCGATAAATATTAACTCTATCGACGGGAGGAGAGCTACCTACTAATATTTTAAGCTTTGTTTTAATAGGCAATATGAGTATCTACCTACCTTCATGTAAGATTTGCGCAATTACCCACATGTAATTCCTCTATTTTAATAAATCAACTTGATAAACAGCTGTAATTTGTTGTCAACAAGGATTTAGTAATGTTTGATATTTTTATAAAAATCGTTTTAATCCAAGCTAAATACCAATTTATGATTTTACGAATTATTTTGAGTCCTATATAGGTACAACTGATTTGATTATTTAGGTATTCCTTTTCTCATTACAAACAATGAGTCATCATTTCTTTGAATACAATTTATAAATAATGCATTTACGACTAGGTAAATTCTCTTTCTTTTTTATTGTTTTTTTTTTTTGAATTAATTTACTTCCGTATTTGCACTGTGTGCTGAGTGCACCGAGGGTCATTGACCTTAAGTCCGCTAGGTTCTTCTAGCCCTATTGATTTCAAGTATAAGTAGTTTTACTTCCAAGGAAGGGGTTTCCAGTTGTTTTCTGTGTAGATATTTTTCCATGTTTTGGCAATTAAAATTTGTTTTACATAGACAATAATAAAAAGAAATGCTTTTGCCTGCAACACAGTTTTTTCTTTGAATTACTTAATGTTAAACATCCAATAGAGATCATTTAATATTTTAAGTTGGGTAGTAGGTACCTACTTTAATAATAAAAAAATACCAATTTGTAGGTATATTAGTAATATTTTCCAAAATTCTTTGAACTAACTTATATGACTTATATTTTTTTTTATGTAGGTACACATAATTTTCTAACAAAAGGAAGAGCCTACCTTATAGGTTTTCGGAATATTATCTAGGAGCACGAGATAAATTAGAAATTATTGAATGAAAATAGGTACCTACCTATACAAAGACTTTACAAAAAAAGATGTAGTTAATATCTTCTGTAGTTTACTAGGTACATTTTGTTTTGGATATGTATGCTAAAGAAGGCAGTAGAGCACCTAGAGAATTTTTAGTTAAAACCTATGCCAAATTTTTATGCTATTTTAAGGCTATATTTTTAGTCTAATTTTAGGCTCTTGTAATATAAATTTTTTCCAAAAAATTGGTATTTTTAAAAAGTACTGAGTGCTTTGCTAGCTTAGAATGAAGACAACAGAGCACCTTGATTTTTTAAAGCTTTTTTTTTTTGCTTAAAACAACCACACCAAATTTTTAGGCTCTTGATATACTTACTATAAGTTTCCTAAAAAAAATTGCTATTTTAAAAAATACATGGTACTTTGCTAACTTTGAACGAGGCCAGTAGAGCACCTCTGTTTTTAAAGGTTTTTTTCTAAAATCAACTATGCCAAATTTTAGGCACTAGACTTTTGAAATGTAAAACATTTAGAAAAAAATTGGTATTTAAAAAAAATCCAGGATACAGCATCACGGTTTTTTAAGTTTTCTTTTTTCCTAAAAACTACCTAACCACATGTGTAGGCTCTTGAAATATGTAAAACATTCAGAAAAAAAATTGTTATTTTCAAAGATATGGGATGCTTTGCTATCTTCAAACGAAGACAACAGAGCACCTCAGTTTTTTATGGTTTTCTATAAAAACAACTATGCCACATTTTTAGGAATGTTTTATATGTTTCAAGAGCCTAAAAATATGATGTGGTTGTTTTTAGTTGCTCTGATGGCTTCGTTCGAAGATATCAAAACAACTTGCTCCTTGTAAAAACACAAGGAGCAAAAAATTATTGAATGGGGTATAAAAATAGCCTTAAAATAGCCTAAAAATATTTTGATATAAAAGTTATTTTTTATTTATTTTTTATTCCAATTACAATTTTTTTACAAAATATAAAAAAAATATATCACAAAAGAAATAATCACAGTTCATTATAATTGAGTTCGAGCTTAGGTCATGTGAGCTCCCCAGGCCAAGACACAGTATTCTAACACTTTCATAATACTATATACACTATATAATAAATATGCCCATTTTAGTTTAAAAATACTAGTAAATACCTAATATAATTTAAGTTATGTTTACTAAGTTGATTTTTAAATATGTTTCTGTATAATACGCTGTATTAGTGTGACGGAAACCATTCCATCATTGATTTTGACATATGTCACTTGGATGCAGAAGTAGCCTAAGTCACAAAATGTTAATTTTACCAAGAGAGCCTTTTTTTCATTCTTTTTACTAAATATAAAAAGTCTAAGTTACCTTCTTCATATTTTGTTCATATGATAAAAACCACGTTCTGTAGAAAAAATGGACATAGAAACTGATGTAGCCTAAATCCTCAAATTGTTATTACATGTCTACCATAAAGTTGTGTAGAAAACTAGTATATGTCCACTTAAGCTAATGGAGATACATGTTTTGCTAGTTCGTGTTTTGACAGATATGAGAGCTACCTGTAAAAATGGACTTATGAGAGCTCTGCATCCAATGTAAGATCTTTTTTACTATTCATTTAACAGAAAATCTCAACATAACAAAAATGTATATAGACTAGTTCTGCATTTAAGTGATGAACGTTATTTTTTTTATGTCGTTTGCAAGTCGTTTTAATATAACTATTACATATTTAAGGGAATACAATATTGAAAATAATAGAAATAAAACGTTTTTGAATGCCTAACCTCTATTTTTATTTACTATTTTACAGAATTGATTAGTAAACAATTATTTAATTAAAATGCTCTATTTACTCTATTTACACAAATTATGTCGTCACTAATACAGCATATTTTGGTACTATCAGTGGGTGAAAGAAGCTTAGGGAAAAAGGTCATTAGTATTTCATTGACAGTTTAGTGGTATAAAAAATTTAAATACTCATGGTGTTCTCAAAGTTAAGTATTTTTTAATATGCTCTAGATCATAACAGTTGATAGGCAACCGATATTAATGGATTAGTTTTATGTTATATTGTGTCTACTTAAGTTGTAATAATATGGAAAACTTTTTATTATTAATTTTAGGAAAAAAAGTTTTTCTTCATAAAAAGTTGTGCATGGTCCAAAACCTGAAAGACAACCATCCTCGCAACCATCAAACATAAAATTTTATCAGTTGTATACGAGGTTTGTCAAAAATAAAGGTACTTTACTTTTCAGCAAATTCTTATTTTTAATCAACCTCGTATACGACTGATAAAATTTGTATCAGATAGTTGAATTGTAGGTTTTACATCATGCACAACTTTTTAAGAAGAATAACTTCATTTCCTGAAATTAATAATAAATAAGTTATTCTTCATAAAAAGTTGTGCATGATCTAAAGCCTAAATTGAATACAAATTATATTCTACAATATTTTCACAATATGTAGATCGAAATTAAAACCCTAAGATCAGAAGCTAGGCAATGCATTATACACGATACGCAATACTATTTTTACATGCGCTATTACGAATATTAATAGTAGCCTATTTCAAATGAAAAGTCATTTGATAGTTTCAGTTTTTAAATACTATTTTGAGAATAATGAGCTAAATAAATTAATTTTGTATAGTTACCAAATCGCTATCTGTTTAACATTGGCTGTCAATATTAACCCCCTTTTTCATGTTTTTTTTTTTTCGTTTAAACCACGCCGCAAAACAATGAATAATTTGTTAAAATGGAGGTGTGAAATTTTCTTACAATAATTTATAAAAAAACAAATATTCAGTTGTCCATAAAAAAATATTTTGAAAGGATGTATATAATATTAATAACTAGTAAATAACAAATACATCAGTTTTATCTTCAAGGCGCATCCTTACCTAGATTTTTCTATAACCGCTTGTAAAATATCGGAACTAAAAATTACCACATGTTCACTTACGCGCCTAAACAATTTTGCATGTATATAAAAAATTAACAAAATGTGTTAGGTTTTTATTTTTTACGAAAATACATAGAAAAAGTTTTTCCTCAGAAGCTTGGCAGACCAGTCCTCCTAGACAGACAAGCCCTACCTCCCAAACCACATTTGCAGAATCTTTGGCAGGTAAATTTTTAGTAGATTTTTTTTAGTAGTTTTTGTTGATTTTTATCGGGATAGGTGATCGTCGGGATTTAGTTTTCTATTTCGTACACCAGCAGAGATAGAGGGTCACTCAAGAAGGAGAAAAATTGATTATTTTACGGGACTAATTTGGTGATATTAATAATAATTGAAAAATACCAGGGCTGGTTTAAGAGAAATTTGTAAAAATGAGATTTTCAGTTTTTGTTTTTTATTTGAATTGTAACGCTTTCATTATTGAAAAATACATGAAAACAGTCTTGGAAACAAATTGTCATTAATGTAAATTTCGTGTTCAGGATTTCAGGGTCGTATCAAGTGTATAAAAAAAATCCTTTAAATATACAGGTACGTATCATGCTAACACTAAACATAATGATCATCGAAATATATCACATTTAGGGGAGGCCCCCATGGGTAAGACGTAGAATATTTTGGGATCTATATCCCTTAAACCTGTCCATGTAATAATACTATTTGTGTCCTTTACTTTTTTGATCATCTATCAAATCCAGGTACGAGCTCCATTCTGGAGTTTGTTAAAACTCGTACAAAAATAATCGTTACTTCACCATCCTGTATTCTATTCGTGTAAGATCCATATTTTTTCACTTTATTCCATTCAAATAAAACTCTTGGATGATGTTTAAAAAACTTTAAAATGCATTACATTTTAAAATACTCTAATATTTAAAACGTTAAAGTTAAACCGTAAATTCTGAAAATCAGTAAGATTCTTGGCTGGATGAAATTATCAAGTAGTCAAATCGGAGCATAAACACTCGCATACGACCAGATGATTTTTTTTTTTTTTCGTTTTCGGACTCGAGTGGTCGGAAACGTGGAGAAAAAAGGGGTAAAAAAGTTCTTGTCGGAACGGATACCATAGAGGCCCCATAGGTAAGGCGGTCCCAACTTTTTTTATTCACTGAAATTATAAAAAACTAATATGACAGAATTTAGTTTTTTTTTACAAATTTTTATTAAATCAGACTTGGTAATTTAAAATCGTAATGTAGTCTCTAAAATAATCAACTTTTTTGCCATTTATCCTGCCGATTTATGAAAATTAAGTCTGGACTACCCTGTATATTGTGTGGTTTGTAAATGTTATTTTTTTTTATAAGGAGGTCCAGTAATACCCTTTTTTTCCAAATTTAGGTTTGCAGCAATATTTTATAATTTCAAATTAGATAAAAATTTTGAATTGCAAGCATTCTCTGCTAATGTGAAAATAATGTCAATTCAAAGAAAGTTCATTTTTGAAGTTTTGGGAATAGGTTTGTCAAAATTATTTTTTTAATTTGTTTAATTTTATGTTTATCGATTTTTTCTGAGTTTTACTTTGATGCACTGGACGTCCCTATTATAATAAGGTGGCCACATCCTAAAAGAAAATAGATATTCTTTGGCTGAGATGATAATAATAATTGGAGATATTTTTGTGAATTATCCAATGTTGTGTTCACTATACAGGGTCTTTCATAACTGGCATTCCATAAGAGTATAATATAGAGTTATCATGTAAAATATATTTTACTATACACGACGTCCAAAAAATTATGATCGATGACTTGCTTTTTTTTTTCAAATTTAAAACCACGTATAATTTGAGATTTTTAGAAATATTCGGATACAATATGCCATATTAGTGTGACGTAATTTTGGTTCCACTAACATTTAACTTTTAGCAAAACAAACTATTCTCTCATTGAATTTGACATATACGTTTTTTGATTTTTTTTTAAAGGAAAATAAAATTCTCGAAATCAGTACCACACAAATTTAATTATTTATTAAAAACTGTTATCCAGTTATTTTAATAATGTTCAATATGGTTTGCTGGTCATAAAAAGTAGTTTAAAGGAATGTACAAAAATATTTTTAAAATTAATAAAATCTTGAAAAAACAAAAAATAAAATGTTAATGAATTTCTATGGTTATTCAACTCTTAACTTTACTTATTTTAGGAAGTATTAAGCTAGTGAATAATAGGAAATTTCACAAGGGTTATTTTAATACTAGAAACTAAACTTTTTATTACTTTCTACTTATAAAAACTATCGAAACATGTAAAAGGAAATAGATGTTATGTTAATTTTATCGTAAAAAAAACAGAATTGGTAATTAAACAATTATATACCTGAAGCATGTTATTTTAGTAATATATTTACGAAAGTTCAAAACCTACATAATTTAGGTAAACAAAACGCAAAAATAAATAAATAAATAATAAACACGTCTACTGTCACTTCATCTGTCACTGCAATTGTCAATGGAACCAAAAAAACGCCATCACTAATTTATGTTAATTTATGTTAATTTTATCGTAAAAAAAACAGAATTGGTAATTAAACAATTATATACCTGAAGCATGTTATTTTAGTAATATATTTACGAAAGTTCAAAACCTACATAATTTAGGTAAACAAAACGCAAAAATAAATAAATAAATAATAAACACGTCTACTGTCACTTCATCTGTCACTGCAATTGTCAATGGAACCAAAAAAACGCCATCACTAATTTAGCGTATATAGATAGGGTTCAAGTTTTGATAAAGTCGTTCGGAATTAAAAAATTAGTTTAACAACATTTGAAATCTTGAAAATATGTGACAAATCTAACTAATTTTTTTCACAGTATTACTCCCTGCAATGTTGCGAAGACTAGTATGGTACTTTAAAAAAAGACTAACTGTGATTGAGAGAAAATGAAAAACCTTTTGAGCAACTTTTGGAATTTAAAAATTAAACAAAGTGATAACATCGGTTATAGATCCGAAAATTGAAGTACCTATGCAACTTTATGGAAATGTGAAAATACAATCCCCAATTTTCAAATTAAGAAATGTATCCACATATCCCCAAAGTTGAAACAAATCAAAGAAAAATTGAAAACGGCTTTTCGTAGGGGGAATTGGGAATTGTATTTTCACATTTCCACAAAGTTGCACAATTTAAAAAAAGAATTAGTTTGTTTTTCCTTTTAATGTTTGTCTTTAATAGTTCATCAATAATTGATACATTTTTAATATTTTTTAATTTTTTTTAATGGATGCTGTTTATTTTTTTTTACAAAACGGTTGATTTTTGGTATGTATGTCTACTTATAAAAAAAATTAAATAAGTACAGAGTGTTTCATTTAAAATATTCTAGTAAAAACACTTTAAATTATTAATATTTAAAAATAATTTGTATAAATATTGTTTTATTTATTTGTTTTAAGACATTTTACAATCTTTTACAAGAGTGAGCCTACATAGTAATCCATACTTCATTGCTCAGTAGTATACAGTGACAAACAAAATCATGCAAATTTAATTTTTTTTTCTTTCGACCGGTGCCTAACCATGTCACCTAATATTTTTAAACATGTCAAAATATAAAGCGCTTTCCGTTTTAAAACAGCCATGTGATTGGCCATATTTTTTTTAGGGCGGCATGTATATTTGAATAGATGTTATAAAATGCCAGCTGTGAAAGACAGCATTACAGTTGCAGTATCTTGTTTTGGATAAAGTACGAAACCAAGTAAATAATGTCTTTAAAACTAAAACGATGATATTGATGAAACCTACAGGTTACTGTAATATCGCATAAAATGTATCTAATGCGACACTCATTGTTGTTACTGTACTTCAGATTTAACTGGAGGGTACCAACTTCTTTTATATTAAGGTAGTTTACTCGCGACAGTCGTACATAAAAATATCGCCTAATGGTGAATACCAAAAGTTAGAGATTCTTCAATGCTAAAAAATGTTATTTTTGTAAGAGACTGTACACAACACTTGTAAGCTTATATGGATATGTTATAATTTCAAGTAAAATCAATCCGGCAACGTCGCAATTATATGAATGGTGGGCTATAGAAATTTGTGACTTCCTCATACTAATTTTAAGGGTTTGTTTTGGTTCAAACAGAACCATCAATTCCATTTCTCAAATACACTTGACGAATTAATTTTTTATGTACACGTCGCGAGGTTATAACAACCTCTTAGCTGATCGAGTGTAATTCGGTTATCGCGCGTAAAGTGTAGCGATTACAATGTTGCCAAGTTGTAATCATTGTACGCAACTACGCGTCGACTGCTTTAAACATTTTTTTATTTTAAAAATCTATCTTTTTACCAAGACGGTCAAAAAATTCAGCGTTTTTTTAGAAAATTTTATAACTTCTTGATTTACATTACATTAGTTTTTAAAAAATATAGTAAGAACCGTTTCCGAAATATCTTGAAATAAATGCATTGCTTGTGTACATGACAGGCTTCAAGAGTGTTAATTATGCACAGTTTGATTGTTAATATCTCGTTTCACAGACGGTCAAAAAATTTCTTGTTTTTTTTTTTTAATTCTTAAGAAAAGTGGTTTTACGAGTGAACTTCCTTTATATGACACTGAATTTTTCCATAATTTTAATAGATCTTGTTTTTCGGAATTCGTTTATACTGAGTTTAGTATGAATATCTGAAAAAATTGGAAAGCTACAAGGCTTCACATTTATTACAGAGACCTGAAAAGTTTAATCAACATCATCATTTCCGGTTCAAAGATTTTTGCTTAGCTCCATATTTTATCGGAATCCTGTATATATGTTTTTTTAAACGAAAAGAGGATTACTTTCACAAAAATTTAATTTTTCGAGGTCATTAGGAGATTTTTAAATACTTACATGCTGCATACAGGGTGAATCATAACTATTGGAATATGAGTACCTACCTAAGGTGCCATTCAAGTATTACCAAATCAAAATTTCAATGATTTTAGGCCAACAACCCCCAAGAATATGCAAAAATAAGAAATTCGTAAACCCGCCTCTCTCAAATGATAAGGCTTAATAGTTTTTTCAAAACTTTTATTGCTGTACCACATTGGCGATTCCTGACGGTGAAATTGGATCATAGCTTTTCTTGACGAAACTTTTTAATAATTTTGATTGGATAATTATTATATTTGTTTAAACCGTTTTTGA